ATACCAGTAGAAAAGTTTGGCAGTGCACCTTTAAATGTTATGAGCGAAATCAACATTTAACTAAACGTGTGTTCTGTTTTTTTGCGTGAAACAAAAAGAGAATGTTTGTGCGATATTAAAACAGAGGTCATTTTGATGCTTTAACGCGGTTTTATTTATTTTCACTGAACAGAGAGACTGGCGTTACAAAGACATACATCTGTGAGGGCTTGTGGAGCTGAAAATCCACATTGCTGAACGTTGCATCACCACAAAGAGAAACAAAAGATCCAAAGATACGGAGCCGCTTCCCCTCGCCTCAAAACCACAGCGCAAACACAGCCCCTTTACCTTTGTGTACGAGAGCGTCGGTTTAACGTGGGGGAGCCCGCTGACCCGTGTCTGTTGTGTCCACTCGCGCTGTTTATTCACCGGGTTTATTTGGTTTGTTTACGCTCGGCCTGTGTTTAAAAAGTGGAGAGGGCGTTCGTAATGCGTTTGGATCGTCCTGTAAAGTTACTCACACCGATGTAAAACAAAGATTCAAATTTGGGTCCATTTTCATAACCCAATAATTAGATCTGAAGAGAAATCTGATAACAAAAACACCCGGGAACATGTTTAAAGGTTGTATGGAGGATTTTTTGTTTTTGTTTGAAATTGTCATTGAAAGTTTAAAATACCATTACAGAGACGCAGCAGCCTTTTAATTATGATGACCGAAAAAAAAAAGCAAGAATGAAAATCTATCAGTAGTGGACGTAGTGAGGCCAGATAAACATCAGCCAATAGAAAACGAGGCTCCCTCTTTTTCTATTGGCTGTTAGGTTGTCAGTCAAACTCCCTACATCTTTAGTGTAACTGACTCGCCGGCGCTCGGATATTATGTGGTTTATGCGGCGGTTCTTTGAGGCTTTTTCAAACTGTAGCTCCCTCGCAATTCGCACAAAGTTTGTTGCGATGGCGGACGAGAATCCACGACCAGTTCACCGCAAAAGAAAGTCCGAAGGGTCTAAAAAGTGACGCGTCGGTCGCTAATAATATTTCTAGGCAGGTCACTTCAACAGTGAATTCTGAACATGCACTGGATGTAAACAAATGTGATTTCTAGAGTAAAGAGGCGGGAGGAGGAGATGTTTCTACTGAGGAAGGAGGTGTCACACATGCACAACATTTGAAAAAGGACGGTCGCTGTATTTCGCTTCCCTTAAAAAATCCTCTATTACAACCTTTAAGTTTTAAAGTCGTATAATGTAACTTTTATAGTGGATGGTTTGCCTCCTGCTTGTCTCTGTGGCGTTGTTATTGCGGTGCCTAGAATGTTCCACAGTATTAAACTTCTTAACATCTTGAAAAACAAGTGGGCTCACCTCTCCACAGATCTGACTTGGCCTCGTAGCATCGCCTGCTTGTCTCTACGGAGGTGGATATGTCTTACCGCGGAACCTTCCAGGAAAAGTAATAAAATCTCCATGGAAACAAGCACGTAGCGGATCCTCGACCAGAAAAGTTACACAGTGGACCTTTAAGTAGGCAAGGTAAGATCTAGACTGTTTGTGCCGATACTAGGAATGCGCATTTATTTAACGTTTCTTCATCGATCGTCAGGAGAATTAACGATCGATTTTTCATTAACCATTAACGTTTTTATTTTAAATTTATCATCATTATTATTACTGTTACTAATCTGCATAAATAAATTCAACTTTACAACATATAAACCATAACCACTGTAGAAACACATCAGCCCGTTTGACATTATAAGGTGTTTAATGCAGCTTTGACACATTTGTTTACATTTTTTTACAGAAACAAAACTTAAAACCTTAAACTTCTTAGGTTCTTTTTAAAGACAATGCAGTAAAGTGTATTTACTTTGTTGACATGTTTCAGCTGCTGCATCTTCAGAACTGTCACCGGTGTTGGTGGTGACGTGTCGTATATCAGCTGTTGTTACTTCCTGTAGGCGTGGTCAGCCTGATGGACCTGGCAGGTCGCTCAGACTGACCACGCCTCCCGTCGCCCGGTGTCTCTGGAGGAGGGTGTCCCAGGTGTTCTCCAGAGAACACCGGGCGACGGGAGGCGTGGTCAGTCTGAGCGACCTGCCAGGTCCATCAGGCTGACCACGCCTACAGGAAGTAACAACAGCTGATATACGACACGTCACCACCAACACCGGTGACAGTTCTGAAGATGCTTGCAGCTAGCAGCCGAAACATGTCAACAAGGTAAATACACTTTACTGCATTGTCTTTAAAAAGAACCTAAGAAGTTAAAGTATATAAGAAGACATAATGAACATCATTGGCCTAAAACTTAAAACCGCGTAGCTCATTTGCATAAACTATAAGCTCTGAAAAAAAAAAAAAAACGCTCGCTCCTTGTGTCGCTGATGCGGTTCAGCTTCTGTCAGACGAACTTGTTTCCTGAGACTTTTGAACAGTGCACAGTGACTTCCTGCTCGGGCTGCCTCTCTATCTTGCCACATTTTTACTTGTACTTGTCTATTGGAACTGCTAAATGTTGTTGTTTTGATGTATTTACTTTTTAACATTGCTTATTTATTATTGTTCTTATCTCTCTCTGGATCACTGGTCCTCGGGGAGCCGTGTGTGAGCCATGTCATGTGTTTCTCTCGCATGCTTGAATGACAAATAAAGAACCTTGAACCTTGAACTAAAGAACACGACTCAGTGGAATATGAGTGTTCTCTCTGTGACAAAGGGATGTTGATGATGATGTTGATGATGGTGAGTGTGTTCAGTGTGTGTGTCGTGTTGGAGATGGTTCATGTGTTCAGAGATCAGACGTGTGCAGCTCTTTATTTAACATTTCACTTTATTTATGTTGGTCTCTTTACTTATTTTGCCTTCTGTTGTGATGAAAAGACTGAAAAGTGTTTGTCTTTTGGACGCACGCACACACAACAGGATACTGCGTTTACATGCGCCATGACGAAACCGGGACACTCAAAAAAACCCCGATCATACCCGGGGACACTGATGTCGAGTGGAACAGAGTCTCCAAGGAGCCAGAGCCCAAACGTGGGACTGCGAGGCACAACTCCAGTGTTTGTGTCAGACGCAGCCTCGTCTCCTCACGCTACACACAGCAACATACATTCAGTTTGTCAATTAAAAATGAACGTGATCGACAAAATTCTTAATGTTAGTTAAAGGTTGTATGGAGGATTTTTTTTTGTTTCAAATTTTCACTGAAAGTTCAAAATACCATTACAGAAAGTCAGCAGCTTTGTAATTATGATGACCAAAAAAAAAAAAGAATGAAAATCTATCAACTGTGGACGTAGTGAGGCCAGAGAAACATCAGCCAATAAAAAACGAGGCTGCCTCATTTTTTATTGGCTGTTAGGTTGTCAATCAAACTCCTTATGTTTCTAGTGTAACTGACTCATCGGCGCACGGGGATTATGTGGTTTATGCAACGGTTTTTAGAGGCTTTTTCAAACTGTAGCTTCCTCGCAATTCGCACAAACTTTGTCGAGACGGCGGACGAGAATCCACGACCAGTTCGCCGCAAAAGAAAGTCCGTTTTTGAGGTCGCTGAAAGAAGAAGAAGAGAAGGAGAAAAGGAGCGAGAAGATAAACGGAGGTGATTCTTGGAGATTCCTTCCAGCGATGGCGCGATTGAAGCGGACGTAGGGTCTAAAAACTGAAGACGCGTCGGTCGCTAAATAAGGAAACAGGAAACTTCAACAGTAATTCTGAAAGCGCACTGGCTGTAAACAAGTGTGATTTCTAGAGTAAAGAGGCGGGGGGAGAAGTTTCTACTGAGGGAGCTGTGGAGGAGGAAGGTGGTGTCACATGCACAAGAACTGTCGCTGTATTTCTCTTCCCTTAAAAAATCCTCTATACAACCTTTAAGTCGACTAATCAGGCCCATGACTCTGAGGAAGACGCTCGTGAGCAGTCGAAACTGTCAGGTATGAAATAACACTCTAGGTCTGAAAAAAAGAACCTAATGACATATAATCATGCCCATCCCTAACCAATACTAATATTAAGACTTTCAAATTCATAGCGGGCGGCAGTAGTTCAGTTGGTGGAGCATTCGCCCACTGATCTGAAGGTTGGTGGTTTGATTCCAGCTCTCGACATAAACATCACAGGTTGAGTGATCAGATCCACTGACCCACAGGTTTGGCTGGTGTGATTCCAGCTCCCACAGATGAATGCTGCCGTTGTGTCCTTGGGCAAGACACTTAACCCACCTTGCCTCTAGTGCAGGCATGTCCGAACTATGGCCGGGGACCAAATGCGGCCCTCAGACAAATGTTTCTTGGCCCTCAGGCTTCCAGGTGAATTGGCCCAAATGATCTTGCATCAATTAAAAATGATCTTTTTACCGCAAGTTTTTAAAAAATCTACCTTGATAAAGCAAATATTTAATAATTAGTTTGTGGTTTTAAGGATCTTAGCCTGAATAAACTGATGGCTCATTCTAACTTGTTAAACATGCACATATTTTAATTATTCACTGTATTGAGCACCAGTCTACGACCCTGGATCAGCCCTCTGCTTCATCTGTGTTTAGAAATGTGGCCCTTGATGAAAAAAGTTTGGACCCCCCTGCCCTAGTGTCTGTGTGCACTGGTGTGTGAATGGGCGAGTGGTTCCTTGTTGTAAAGAGCTTTGAGCCTTGAAGGTGGAAAGGCATAGAAGAATGTGACCATTTACCAATAGCATGACCCACAAGTTTATGTTAAATGTAGAAATTAACTAACACAAATTCAAAGAAACAAGATAAGATCTCGTGCCATGTGACGGCTCCTCCACCGGAAAAGTTACATACTGCACCTTTATCGTTTTCTCTTTCATCTTTGCCACGTTAGTTTGCCCTTTTTTGCATAATTTTCCAATCAGGAAGAAATCAGATTACACACATCAGATAGCTGTTTACGTGACATTTCTCTAATCTGATTCCTCCAGAAATCAGATAACGATCAGCTTTTGTTGTGTATGTAAACATAACCATAGACGCTCATGTTTTTACCTCCACAGCTGAGTCCAGGTCTGCTCCACACCGTCCTGAAGGGCACCTTTAACGTCACCCTCAACAACCCCCTGAACGCCGGCGCGGGCCCCGTGAACGAGCCCGGCGCCAAACAGAGCAGCCGCGCCACGCCCGGCTCCACGAACGCCTGCGTGCTCCCCGGGTCCAGACCTGCGATCACACAGATAAACCAGGCCCCGCCCAACACCGGGGCCACGCCTCCTCCCAGCGCCGTCTAGGCTTCCGTCAGGGTCAGAGGTCAGATTTAAGATAAAGCTCATTTAATTATTTATTTATTTATTTATCATTTCATTTGCAACTTACAACATGCACACAGACATTAAAAAGGACAATTTGATAAATACAATACGGAACAATACAAATACAAATACAAATACATACACCTCCACAGCAGACACAGTGAGACCTGGTTTAGTCCTGGTTTAGTCCTGGTTCAGGCCTCCATTCAGTCCTGGTTTAGTCTTGGTTTAGTCCTGGTTTAGACCTGGTTTAGACCTGGTTTAGACCTGGTTTATTCCTGGTTCAGTCCTGGTTTAGACCTGGTTTAGTCCTGTTTTAGTCCTGGTTAAGACCTGGTTTAGACCTGGTTCAGTTCTCGGTTCAGTCCTGGTTTAGTCCTGGTTTAGTACTTGTTTAGTCCTGGTTTAGACCTGGTTTAGACCTGGTTCAGTTCTCGGTTCAGTCCTGGTTTAGTCCTGGTTTAGTACTTGTTTAGTCCTGGTTTAGACCTGGTTTAGACCTGGTTTAGTCCTGGTTTAGACCTGGTTTAGTCCTGGTTCAGTCCTCCATTCAGTCCTGGTTTAGACCTGGTTTAGTCCTGGTTTAGTCCTGGTTTAGACCTGGTTTAGTCCTGGTTCAGTCCTCCATTCAGTCCTGGTTTAGTCCTGGTTTAGACCTGATTTAGTCCTAGTTTAGTCCTGGTTTAGACCTGGTTTAGTCCTGGTTCAGTCCTCCATTCAGTCCTGGTTTAGTCCTTTTTTAGTCTTGGTTCAGTTCTCGGTTCAGACCTGGTTTAGTCCTGGTTTAGTACTTGTTTAGTCCTGGTTTAGACCTGGTTTAGACCTGGTTTTGTCCTGGTTCAGTCCTCCATTTCAGTCCTGGTTTAGTCCTGGTTTAGACCTGGTTTAGTCCTGGTTCAGTCCTCCATTCAGTCCTGGTTTAGTCCTGGTTTAGACCTGGTTTTAGTCCTAGTTTAGTCCTGTTTAGTTTAGACCTGGTTTAGTTCCTGGTTCAGTCCTCCATTCAGTCCTGGTTTAGACCTGGTTTAGACCTGGTTCAGTTCTCGGTTCAGTCCTGGTTTAGTCCTGGTTTAGTACTTGTTTAGTCCTAGTTTAGTCCTGGTTTTGACCTGGTTTAGGCCTGGTTTAGTCCTGGTTCAGTCCTCCATTCAGTCCTGATTTAGTCCTGGTTTAGTCCTGGTTTAGACCTGGTTTAGTCCTAGTTTAGTCCTGGTTTAGACCTGGTTTAGTCCTGGTTCAGTCCTCCATTCAGTCGTGGTTTAGTCCTTGTTTAGTCCTGGTTTAGTCCTGATTTACTTCTGGTTTAGACCTGGTTAAGTCCTAGTTTAGTTGTGATTTAGACCTGTTTTAGTCCTGGTTCAGTCCTGGTTCAGTCCATATATGGCGTAAAAGTTCAGCATCTTTACAGTTATTTTGGTGAGAGTAAGTTAAAGTGCTGTAATAGTTGTGTAATATTTTACATTTTAAACACAATAATATTGTAATGTAAGAAAATACTTTGAAATGACAGTAACACGTCATAAATAAATAAATAACACATTACAGTTTTGAAGTAACTTGCCCAACAGTGTCAGAGTGTGAAGTTTCAGCATCATTAAATATAAATGTACAGTAATGTAGAGATTCTCAACAGTTTATTGGAGGGATAAACTCAGTGTTGAGAATAAAGACAACTGTGGAAATATCCCAGTCTGTACAGGTACAAGTGGGAAGAGAAGGAGGTGGGGAACCTAGTTATGTTTCTTAATGAGTTTTTCGGATTGGTGTTTAAGCCTCCCATTTATTCATGTGCCCCAAAAAACCTCACCTTAAATGACAGTGTAAGAAAGCTTAGTGCAGGTGAATAAAAAAAAAATCTTCAGTAGAGATTTCATTTTGAAGCTTCTGTACTTTACTCACATAAACGTATGAAAAGTGTGTCACAAGTGTTTTATCATGTTATGTTTTAGTATAAATATAATGTATTTTATGAGTAAAAACTGCCAAAATTTACCATTTTTGGGACATTCAAAACAGGAACATGACAATTTTTTGCTTCTTTGTTGACATTTTCTAGGTACTAAAAAATATGGTCACATTTTTATACAGCGTTTTTCCACCTCAAGGCACTCAAAGCGTTTTACACCAAGAAACCACTCACACATTCACACACACACATTCATATACCAGTGTACACAGACAATGTGGGTTAAAGATGCAGAGAAGCTCGTCCACACCTTTATCTGGTCCAGGCTGGACTACTGTAACGCACTCCTCATGGGGATCCCTGGCAGGAGCATCCAGAGACTGCAGTACATCCAGAACTGCGCCGCCAGGATCCTGATGAGGGTGTGAAAATTTGACCACATCACCCCCGTCCTGAAATCCCTTCACTGGCTTCAGGATTGAGTATAAGGTCTCCTCCTCACTCACCGGTGCGTCCACGGTCACTCCCCCCAGGACCTTAAGGAACTCCTCACTCCCCAGACCCCCTCACGCTCCCTCCGCTCTGCAGCCACCAACACTCCCCAGACCCCCTCACGCTCCCTCCGCTCTGCAGCCACCAACACTCCCCAGACCCCCTCACGCTCCCTCCGCTCTGCAGCCACCAACACTCCCCAGACCCCCTCACGCTCCCTCCGCTCTGCAGCCACCAACACTCCCCAGACCCCCTCACGCTCCCTCCGCTCTCGCAGCCACCACACTCCCCAGCCCAGACCCCCTCACGCTCCCTCCGCTCTGCAGCCACCAACACTCCCCAGACCCCCTCACGCTCCCTCCGCTCTGCAGCCACCAACACTCCCCAGACCCCCTCACGCTCCCTCCCCTCTGCAGCCACCAACACTCCCCAGACCCCCTCACGCTCCCTCCGCTCTGCAGCCACCAACACTCCCCAGACCCCCCAGAACCAAACTCTGCACCATGGGTGATCGGGCCTTCTCCTCTGCAGCTCCAAGGCTTTGGAATCCTCTCCCCGACCACTTGAGAGCCCCACAGTCTATTTCTGTTTTTAAATTAAATCTTAAAACGTATCTTTTTACTAAAGCCTTTTGTTAATTGTATTTTATTTTTGTTTTATCTTATTAATTCCTGCAATAGTTTTAGCTTGATCCACTGTTTGCTGATGCACTTTTTACTCATTGTTTTTACCTGTAGCACTTTGAGATTATTTTATGTAAAGTGCAATATAAATAAAATTTTATTATTATTATTATTATTATTATTATTAAATGTCTTGCCCAAGGACACAATGACAGCATTCATCTGTGGGCAGCTAGAATCACACCGCCGACCTGTGGGTCAGTGGATCTGAACGCTCAATCAATGATGTTTTTATGTCTAATCAATGGACAAACGCTCTTCCAACTGAGCTACTGCCCCAAATACTACAGATATCAAATATTAATGCAGATATTTAAGTAAACTAGATCTGACTGAAAATGTGCCTCTTTTTTCCACCTCATTTTTAGAGTTAAAACTTGAATAAATCAAGCAGAATTAAAAATCATTCTCTACGTTTTGTCAAAATCTTGTTAAGTAAAAGATTGGAACTTTTGGTGCATGTAGTTTCCACTTTAAGGGTTGATGCTTACGTCCCGATGAGAGGAAAGTGCTCGCTTCAGGTGGAGTTTAATTCATGCGCAGAACAGTTACAGCAAATTTTCGAAGATAGAAACGTATTTACTTTTTCTACTTCTGGGTCCAACAGAATCCCTGACTTTCTCAAGAGATTAACAAACACTTATCTGAACTGTTGCACCGCATTTCACAAATCAGAATTACACATCGATTTGACTTCGGTCTAAAATAGAAGTACAATCATTTTTACCACTTTAGAGTCTCAAAGTGACGATTCGCAACATTTCGCTTGCAGTGTCCGGTCTCTTCTCTGCCGTCTTTGCGCTTGGACATTTAAAATCTCATCCAATTCGTCTGGTAAAAAATTGTTTAAAACTCTAAACTCCGGGCGTTTGCAGTTCATTTTTCAGTGTTTTCTCAAATATTAATGAATCATGGTTTTTAAAAAAGTTAATTGCAACTGTAACTCTCCTCATAAAATGCCATTAAAATATATTTTCCCCAAACCGTCCAACCCAAACACCTCAGATTTTCACGCCGTGCCCTTTTTACTCGAGATATTTGAAAAGCTTGTGATTTATTGTTAACGCGCCAAATTATCCCCACAGCTAATTTCACAGTTAATTTACTAATTAGAGCTGCTTAACAACTTGTGACTTTTTAAAACTGAAATTCTCAAACTAATGCGCTGATGCTTCGTTTTCCGCTCTCTTTTGCAGAAGCGGGAGCAGAGGAGGCAACAATGGCGTGTGGCACTTTTCGTGACGGGAGAATTTTTTGGTCGCTCGGCGTTTTTTGAAGACCTCTCGCCCCGGTACAAAGGCCTGTTAATCAAACTCTATTAAAAAGATATTAGCGCTCAAGTGGCTGATGAGTTTCCAGCGCTGGTCCCTTTTTTTTAAAATAGTCCTCTCACACTCCTCAAAGAGACGCGGGTTAGAAAACTCTCTACCTCCTCATAATAGCTTCAAATTACTCTCAACATTTTGGGCCCTGAGTTGAAATAGAACAGCTTTTTTTTTTTCTTTTTCTTTTTAATAATGAACAGAACAGTCCTCTCTAAGTCTTTTCAGAAGTAGAAGTGGTTACCGCCGGCACCGCAGGCGTTAGATCTATGACGACAGGTGTGGCTGCACTTTTACACAAGATGGCACTCCGCTGAATAAAATGCACGTGACAGTTTTTTTCTAATTACTTGGTTTATTAGAATACCCATATGGAAAAGGTATAGACAAATCATACACCATTTTAACATGTTTCATATGAATCCTACAAGATTTGTATATGACAGTGGAAACACTTACAAGATCTTTGGTAAATATGTGCAGCATGAAACATATAAAACTTTGTAACCTGCAAGGGCTGAACATGACACTAATCCCACACACAATGTCCTCACAAGTGTTGAACAAAGGTCATTT